CCAGTAGCTTTCTATACATTTCAGCATCCTTTTTACTCTCCCATACCACTGTCTCCATAACATCAATTTCTTGCCATAGGATTTTAGTATAGAGTAGTAGATTGCCACACTCTTCTCCCCCTGTCTCAAGTTCTTCACATCATTTTTCAATTTGTATGCTCTGGCTACATTCAGTTTCTGTGAATAGGTCTCAGTTACACTGTCCCATATCTCCTTAGCCAAAGACATCCAGAGATAGTGTTGGCTTATATGGGGTTGCATAGAGTTGACTAACCATCCTATAACAGTATAGTTCTCTTGCATCCATCTTTCAAATTCAGGGTCTGTCTCTTCGGGTTTCAMCTTGYTGCYTGTGAGATACCCGAGTTTTCCTCTACTACAAACATAGATTTTTATAGATTGTGCCCAAGCAAGATAGTTTGTCCCATCTAGCTTAATTGTGGTAACACCAGTCAAAACGGAATCTACTGAAGCAGGTCCAGAAATTGGCACTTGCTTGAACTCACTTCCGTATGCCTCCATTAATCAAACAAAAATCAAAGAACAGAAAATTTTGTCTATGTAAACTTACTTGAAGTCAAACCAGAACTTGGGTGCTTGAAAAACTAGGGTTTTGCTCCGTTCAGCAGATGGGAGGAAGAGAGAAGACACTGCCGCACCTACTAGACTAACCCAAAAACTCTTCCAAACCTGAACCGCCCTCCTTTAGCAGTCATAAGACACCTTCCAAGCACAGAGCGCCACACCCAAGCTTCACCTTTCCTGGTAACCTCAAAAATCTCTAGTCGGCTAGGGTTTTGGGCAGCAGCAAAACAACATCACTTCTTGGCAAAATCTAGCCAGAACTAAACTCTCCAAACCCTTCTACCAACTAGGCAAGTGATTCTCTATACTATAGAGAACCAATCTCTCCATACACTCTCTTGATTTTAGAGTGTACAGAAACAAAGAAAAAGGAAGAGGAATTGAACCTGCTCTGATACCAAGATGTAAATCAGTCCTCTAATATCAAGATTAAACTTAGTGATAAGCAGAATAGAACATGTCTGAATAATTGTATAAGAGAGGAAGATGGCAAAGAGAAGAGGTAAGAGAAGAAGTCGAATCAATCACCCTTCTCCTCTAACCCTATTTTATTAATCTCTAAAAAATTGATGATGACAAGTATACCCTTAAGTGGGCGGCCAGCTTAGTAGTTACATAAAGAAAATAAAATAAGAACAAAAAACAGGCCCATTAAGTGAGGCCCATCAACATAAAATAAAAGATAAAATAAAGGATATCATACGAAAGGTTGTTAGGGCCCATTCGGCCCAGTCTCTTTACAAAGTTGTCAATGAAAGATATGAAATATTTGTAGCCATTCTCCGTTGGAATATTTACAAGTCCCCAAACATCAGAATACATAATGGAAAGAGGTACTTCTGATCTTTTATTACATAAAGGATATGAAGTTTTACAATGCTTGCTTAGATGACACACTTGACACTAAAAATCATTAACTAACACTGACTTAAACAATTCTGGAAACAAGTACTTCAAAGACTTAAAGGACATATGACCCAAACAAAGTAACCTGACTCTTATTTGACTGACTCAAAGATATTAAGGCCGCAAGACCAACTTTATTCTCCAACACATAGAAACCATTCACAATGTTCCCTTTACTAATCGTTCTCCCAGAGGCCAAATCCTGAAAGACACAAGATTGAGGAGAAAAGGTTACTGAGCAGTTCAAAGAGTGTGTAATGATGCTAATAGATAGCAAATTAATAGGCAACTTTGGAACATGTAAAACATTTGACAAAGGTAGGCCAAATGGCAAAGATATAGATCCTCGACCAGCAATGGAGGAGAATGATCCATCAACTAACCTCACTATATCTTTGCTAGAAAGAAGGGTGTATGATTGAAAAAATGTTGACTTACCAATCATGTGATTGGAAGAACCAGAATCAATAATCCATGAAGATTCGGAGGCATCAATAGACACATGGAATGCAAAAGCTAAGTTACCTAAGGAAGAAGCAAAAGAGATTGAAGGATTGGGTTCAGAATCTGCTTGTGTGAGAGCCCTACCATATTGCTCCAAATGGTCATGGAAGGCATTGATAATATTTTCCTTGAAATCAGAACTAGGGGGCAATCTTGGGAGTTCACAATAGTACATCCACTCTGTGGCTCATGAGAGGCCAATTTAGCCGAGGTGAACTTCTGATTTGGTTTCTTGTTCTGTTCTTGTATTGGTTTCTTACTTAGGTCTTGTGCCCACTTTGGCTTTCCATGCAATTCCCAACACGTCTCCCATGTGTGTTGGGATTTCTGACAATGAGTGTACCACAGTCTATCCTTATCATCAACCCTTTTTTGACCAGATCCCTTTCTTGCTGAATTGGCATTACCTCTTACGGCTAAAGCAATAGTCTCCCCCTCGGGGGATTCATGGCAGATTTTCTACTTTCCTCGGATTGAACTAGTGCATATACCTCTTGGACGAAAGGAAGATCCTTGCTGCCCAAAATTTGAACTCGAATGGGTTTTCATACATGGAATTAAGCCCCTGCAAAAAAGCAACACTTGCTGCTGTGAAACTAACTATTTGTAAGCTTTGGCATCCTTCACACTCTCCCAATCAATGTTTTGATAGTAATCTAACTCTTTCTAGATAGATGTGAGGGTAGAATAGTAGGTGAATAAGCTTCATTTCCCTTGTTTACATGCTGCAAACTTGGCTTGCAATTGATAGATTCTAGCATAGTGTCTATGCCCGGGAGTAAGTTGATCTTGCTTGTTCCCATATTTCCTTGGCTATCTCAGCCCATATAAAATTCTGCTTAACTGATGGTAGCATAATAGTCAAAAGCCATGACATAATTATGTAGTTCTCCTGGTCCCACTTATCATATTCAGCAGTACCAGCCCTAGTCTCCTTCACTTTTCCATTGATATACCCTGCCTTTCCTCGGGCTGTGATGTACAGCTGCATCTCCTTAGACCATGTCAAATAATTTCTGCCATCTAAAGGAGTAATAGTTGTTGGAAAGCTCATAGAGTCAGGACTATTGTTCATTCCTCCTTGATTAAATGAGGTTCCAGAAGCTGCAGAGTCATCAGAGGCCATAACAAAGGCTATCAGAAGTTTCAGACCTACAACCCTTCTCCCGCAGTCCACACACTCAAAAAACACACAGCCCTCATTGTAAGATTAAAACAAACTATAATCACAATAACACAGCACCTACTGTCACAGATTCACAGGTCTAACCGACCTCACAAAGGCTAGTTTAAGCCACACATAACATCTACAGCTCTTCTGATGCACCTTTCCATCTGAACCAGGTCACACATGACCTACACAGGTTCTTCACCCACACAGATTTGGATCACCGACCCACAGAAGCAATTAAACAGGCCTACACCATTCGGCTAGGGCAGATTTTATTATGTTCTTGGTAACAGTACCAAAGAACCAATAATAAGAACACTTCAGTCTATGTTTCTGATGAGTTCGACTGACTTTTGGAAGTTACAGTCCAGAGAAGAATGGAAGAGAAGAAGAAAAAACAACCACCCACCGACCTCTAAGAAAACCTCAGTCAATGTCAATCATCTGCTGATCTCTGAGAGTGTTTTTTCCAAGTTTCTGTTTAAAGATGACAGAACAGGGTCCACCAAACAGTTCTCAGGGCAAGGTCGAACTTGTCTTCCTCATTCCCAGTCCAGGTATGCAATTGGTAAAGGCTTCGATCAGACAAGAATCCTTTTACAGAGCACTGTCCTGCTCTGATACCATGATTTCGATCAGAAAAGAAGTAGAGAAGAGAGGAGAAGAAGAAGAGAGAAGAGAAGATTGGAGCCCAAAAAATCTAGGCTGGCGGCGCCAGTCCTTCTATTTATATGTTAGGGCGTCCATACAATAATAATAAAAAAGGAAAAGACAAAAGTGCCCTTGCAGCAGATAACCAAGATTACATCGATATATATATATATTCTGATTCTCTCTTCAATAAAAAAAAGTAGCCTTTATATTATTAGTTTTCTTAAGGTTTCCCAGTTCAGTTACAACTGGGACATAAGCAAGGTAAAGCATATATCAAGAATGCCCCTGTATGGATGACTGTTGTTCTTGTTTGTAAGTTGTCCATTTAATACAAGATACCCTTTGTCAGAATGAAATAGAGAACATCTAATGGCATTATCTCATCATCTGCTCAAATCAGATGGATTTAATCAGAATGAAGTTACATTCCAAGCTCTGCAACTAGTGCTTTTCAACGCAGACATAGGAGTGGTGTAAAAAGTGTTCATTCTGGTTCATAATATCCAGACCAAGCCTAATTTGAAAAACCATTCCTAGAAAGTATAAACATATTTTTACTATTAAACACATGGATTGAATTTTGAATTGATTTGCTGCCAGGAGCTTGCATAATTAGGATTAAAAATAACTTGCTAGAACCAAATAGCTTCAGTTTGTCTGGGTGAACCATTCAATAACATATAAGGAACTAGTTTAACTAGTTTTTACTTTGTTAGACTGAGCTCTTCACTGAATACTAATCAGTGATCACACAAATCTAGCATACATTTTTATTATTGTTTTGCTGATGTATTAGCAAAACAAGGCACGGGTAGAGACAATCTCTTTTGGGCTCAGTTGTAAACTGTAAGAATGTTGGGCGCTGGGCGGGGAGAGGGGGAGTTAAGAGATCTTACGTCCCCTTTCTTATATTCATTGTTTGTACACTTTCCTGATTCTAAATGAAATTTCACAGTTATTGATAAAAAAATGCATGACTTTCAACACCTACTAGAGAACCACAATAATGGAACAAAAAATAACCACCGTTTTGTAAGAAAAATGAGCAGAACTAAATCCATGATGAATTATTGAAACTGGATAATTCGACTGTTCATTGATGTTGTAGTCAAGATGAATTATTTCAGAACAAAAAAAGCAACAAGAAAATTGGTTCTGAGGTCAAAAATAAATTACTCACCAAACCAGCCCTTCGATTCGGCCACAGCCCAATAACTCTGTGCTTCACTACGAGGACCAGCATCTTTCCGAGTCTCTCCACCACTAAATAAAAGCAGAGCTCCTTCATCTTTGGCCGCAATCTCAACTCCCTCCTTTATATGATCCAGGAAAGTAGCAGCTTGGCCTGGATTCTTCTGATAAGATTCCAGGTACCATGAATCCTCCTGATCAGCCTTCCCACAACTGCTACTCGTATAGACTGAATGGCCAGCAACCATTACGAGATTTTGAAGCTTTGCAAAGGGATATGATTCAAATCTCATATCAAACTTCCTTGGAGCATTCACGATTCGGTACCGGCTCTCATACACGGACAGAATGATCAAAACGGTCACCCCAAATGACAGTGAAATAAAGAAAACCACAAGTGGATGCAACTTGTAATAGTACTGAAGGCTACTGCCAATCGATTTAAACATTTTCATTGGATCTGATAGAGAACTCTTTTGTTTTCGGATTTTTCGGGCGATTCCGGATTCTAAATCGAAGTCCCCTCTTGGGTAAGCAGGGAAGGACCTGGGACTCCCTGGCCCAAATGATTGGGTATTCATTATAGCATTGAATCTATTCTATATTGTCACCGAAAACGGAGGAACCAAGCAATACCCAGACGAGATTTTAGGGAGAAAGTGCTAATGACTAACGGATTTCTTCTGCTTCGGGAATATTAAATTCTCTTCAGAAATGCTAGAAAACTGACAAAATAAGTGCATCCAGATGTGAATTCTGCTAGAAAAATGAAAAACAATACAATTTCTGATTCTTCTACATAAAGTTCAGCCTATGTTTGATGAGAATGGAACAATGACGTCTTACCCAGATTAGAATTTGAAAGGGTGAAATAGCCTAGATGATGGTCAGCTTATTAATATCCGCAGCGAGAAAAAAAAATGGTGAAATTCAATGTGAAACGATCATCGACCATCTATGCACGTTAAAACCTGGAACCAACAAAGAATTTATCTCTGCCCTTGCAAAGAAGTCTCAGAAGTTTCTTGCCTTCTTGGCTATGGGCTTTTGACTTTGGGGGGAGTGTTGGTCGAGTTTTCTGGGCTGGGAACTCGAAGGGACGAACATCGGAGACTAATGCCAGAAAAAGTAGAAATTCCGAAATACCCCAACAGTTTAGTAGAATCTCTAGAAGCGGTAACATTTCGTCTGGTAATTATAAGATCATCCCAACGGTTTGTGAACCAAACTAGTGAAACTACCAAGTCAATAAAACTAGAAAGAAGATTCCAATAGAATGATTTCCCTACAAAGACCTATAATCTTCATTGTGGATTCTAATTTATCCAATCACTTCCCAAGCCAAAAGATTCCAATCCAACAGTTTTAACCTTAGACAATCTTATTTGTTTTGTCAAATAACTACCCAGTATCTAGTACCCACCCTATTCCATGGTTACTCAGTTCAAGAATCCAGATTCTCTGCATCTCCTTCCAAAATGATGGAATGAAGACCCAAATCCTTCAGATAATTGCAAACCTTATCTTCAAAGCTTCAGCTTCAGCTTCCAAATGTTCTCGCTTATACCAAGAACAATAGTTGCTTACCCAAAAAAAAAATACTAAGATAAATAATTGAATTGAATGCAAAAGCAAATTAGCCCCTAGGTTGCTAAACTCTTGAATTATAAAAACAAGGGTAACCAAACTTACGAACTCATTCTCATGGAATTTGAATAAAGAAATTATTAAAAATGTATTGAAATTGTGTTCAACATTTTTTTGGGAAGATGTACACGATTTTGTGAGTATATGAAAGTATGACAGTGCAATTACACCTACTTCTTTTCAAATCCAGGGGATTGATCCTATTGAAGCCTGATCACAGAGCATCTTTTCTTAGTAATTATACAGTGACTATCTTGGCATTTTGGGGAATCCGAGTCAGAGTTTCATCACTGGTTCCTTCTTCCTAGAAATTCTGCCGAACTTCTCCAAGTCTCAGCCTCTTTACCTAGATGTCATTGTACATAGAACCCAATATATCTGGCAATGCTGGTTTAGTAGCAGCACTAGTTGTAAGTCATGATGCTTCTCAGGGTTTTTTCATTCATATGGTAATGAAGGAAGCACTTGTATGATATGAATGAAATTTTTGAGAAGATTCTTTAGATCCTTGGAATAATACAGCTCCTTCAGGGCAGCACAATCTGCTTAGTTCAAATTTTTGAAGCAAAGGTAACTTGATCTCTATGGGATAGGCTTTGAGGATAATACCACTTCTTTCTTGTAAATTTCTTTATCCAAATGATAAAAGGAAACACAGAAAAGAAACCCAACAATAAAGGAGATCAAATTTCAGATTTAAACTTGGCTAAGCTAAACTTCCATTGTTGGATTCAGAGCAACCTGTGAATTTCATCTTTATAAAAACATTCCTCTTAGCAGTTTGATATACAGGAGCAAATACTACAATCAGATTAGCAATAAAAAAGTGATTAGCATACTATTTAAATCAAATTAGTATTATTATTGTTATTATTGTTGTTGTCGTCATCGTTGTCATCATCATCTTTTCCTTCAGATAGTGTTTGCTAGGAAATGAACTTGAATTCAGCATTGTTCCCCAATTGGTCAATAGGTGTTTTATTTTTGTTCTTTACAGTAAGCTGGAATACTCTGAAACCTCAAAGTTGAAACCATGAGAACATTGAACTGATTTTCTTAAGATTGTCTTTTTTGCTTCACAAGAGTATGGGGTTATATCTGAACTCTCTTTAATACATGTATTATTTACAAACTTCAGTTTACACATAACTGATAAAACTGTATCTGTACATATTTACATAAAGAAAAGACAAGATTGAACGAAAACTCAAACAGTAAGCAATTAAGTTTGTACAAAGCAAACTATGTCAGACAAAAATGAAGTTGCTCCCATGTTTATGTTCTCTCCTTAGTTGGCCTTTAACTTGTCCAAGCGAAAAGTCCTCTGCAAATTAGAAAAGCCAAAAGGTCAAAAAGGCAGGTATGATAATTTCTTCTTCCAATAACCAATAGTACATGTTTTGGCTCACCAGAATGGAGTGGATATCATCTAGAAGAGACAGAAGTAATGGAACCAATTGTTGTATTTCCTCTTTTAACATGTCGTAGTCTTCGTCTTCGATCATGAGCAGTTTAATGAAGGTTTTGTTATCAGGGATCAACTTGAGAGCTACCTAAAAATATCATGTTTGTTAGTTGAGAAAGAAAATTGAAGAACCAAGGGTTTAGTATAGATGTATCACCATAATGCCATGTTATGCCAGTTGCCTAAAGCTGGGGAGTGAAGTAGTAACATGGTTGCATCAAATTGTGCTTGAATCTCTATAGAAATGCTTCTAATGCTATTGACAAGAACACATTTGGTAATCTTTCAAAGAAATGCTTCTATTGATTTTTCCCAAGGAGAAGAAAAAAAAATCTTCTCCCAAACAGAAAAACACTGAAAAAGCATCTTTGAAGCCAAATGATATATAAAAATTTGTTTTGTGTCTTGTATTTGGGTCAAGTAATCTGGTCATTTTTCATTTGACAATGTGAACTCTCCCTTGCCATTTTCACCAAGACTCTGTTTGTTTGCAGTGCAATTTCATCTGTACTAGTACAAATGCATGTGAGTGCAAATGAGAAGAATACAAGTTTTAATTCACATTTGCTTTAGGTTTGATTTCATCTCCTCCACAAACGAGGCAAAGTAGAATGCTAGAAGATATAACAAAATTAGGGCAGAGTCTGGATTAAATTCAATTTCAGTCTAAAGCTTTTGAGCCAGTGCAAATAAAATTTTACTGCAAACTAATAAGACCCAGAAGTTCATTAATCTGATGTAAAATTGAAAAAAAAAAGGTAGTTGATAAAAAACAAAATGACATATTAGAGGGGATGTGGAGGGGAAGAACTAGACTCCCTCAAGTTTCTACCAAAAGAGAAAAAAGACTGTCAAGTTATATATTACCTTATATGCAGCTGAAGAAATCCATCCATGCCATGGTTTCAATGAAACGTTATATGCGTCCTCCACCACTTGCTCAAGATTTTGTCCAACATCTTTTGCTAACTTCTCTAACAAATTTACTGTGAAATCCAAAGACCTATGCAGAGAGGTTTGTAATTACTGATATGCCAGATAAATTGGGTTAGGCTAAAATATGCTACCTTACATGAAAATATCCAACATCTTTGTATGTCTCTGTGTCAAAAATCTCTGGTTGAATTTTGAAATGATCAAATCTTTGTTTACAATTAATCACAATTAAGTGGTTGGATTGATGGGAGTAGTGGGTCCATAAAACCAAAAGACATGGATTCTCCAATGGGTCGGGTCTGGGATTAATCGGGACAAATTCATAGATCCAAAACCGTCCCAATTAATAATAGGGATAATCTGGTCCAATCCTTAAAGTGATATATCACAAAATTAAAACTTGAATTTTCATAATATAACCTTAATAATAAAAAAGACAGTAAAATAATAAATTATTTATATGTTAATAAATCAAGTGTTTTTAAGTAAAATCAATAACAAACATACTCAAAGGTGTTGAATGCATGAGCGTCTGTGTACTGTTTTATTAGAAAATGGCTCTTTTTTTGGCAACAATTCTGCCACATAAGCTATTTTTTGGGAAGTAGCACTAGTTTTATTTGGTACCAGTATTATATAACCATTTTCAGCACTAGTCTACATTATCAAATACCCAAGATGATGCCACATAGATGTTACGTCATTGAACCGGAAGCATCATGCTGTTTTCTGAGAAAACATCAAATTTAGCAATTCTTCATATCACACTTTTCTGATTTCCAGCTTTCCAATGTATGGTTTGGAGTAATGCTTTTTTCTGGAATAACAGTGTCTAATAAGCAGTTGTTTTCTGAAGCACTGTTTTTTTCTGATATGGCATCTATGTGATGCCATTTTCTCAAAAAATGTCATCGATACCAAACACCACTTTCAAAAATCACCAATTTCTGAATAAGCGGCAAAGAAAAATCATCATAGATAGGGACACTTGCATCGAAGGATTTTATGGCTGACTTGAAGACTGAAATCAGAAAAGAGAAAGTCCTAAAAGCGTAGAATCCATTTCGTTTGTTTGCCCCCAGGTGGGTCGCCCCGATCAGAGGTGAAACTTCAAACTTTGGCAGACGTATCTCATCTGTTACTTTTTTTTTTTAATTTTTTGAGAAGAGAATTGGTAAAAATAAAAATCATGCAGACATCCCCAAAACATAGCTTCCAGCTGCATATTACTCTATGAATCGAAGATTTTTTTCCCGTATACAAGTACAGGAAAAGATATTCCTAATATACAGCCAAATGCCATATTCTCAGTCTCAGGGTGTGCATGCGATTTTTTGTTTCTAAGGAGATCTGGGCTTGAATTCTTCTCGATAACATTGTCAAAGTGTCAACTGTCAACAATAAATACTCGTTTCTGAGTCCGAATTTGAAAGCAAATATTATTAAAACGTATTTGAATCTTAAAAAATTAGAACCATTTAATACGATTGGATGTGGAATCCAATAAAGATCCAAGTCTGTATAAACTATCCATATATATTTATATGAAATTAACATATATTCATTAATAAAATCGGGTTGAATATCACATCTAAAAGTTCAATGTGCTCAAATCTGATGGTAGCTATTTTTAATTTATTTTGTTAATTATTAATAATATAAAATAAAATTATTTTTATCAATTGTTATTTAATTTATTAATGGTATAAATATCCGAATATGGTAGAAGTCTAATTAAAATCTGACAAATGCATGTGCAGATCACCATTTTTTTTCATGGCACTGCATAGCACTTTTCAACAACAAACTAATAAATCTTTTCTAGAATCGGTGGCAGCGGGTAAGGGAGTCAATGGATCGGTTCAATTTGGATGGATTGGACGGACCAAAAAGATATAGTGGATTGGACCAATCTGGTCCAAAATATTTATTAGATTGGATTGGACCTGGTCCATTCGTAAAAATTTATATTGGATTTGGTTGGATTAAATCAATATCTGGTTCATTGATATAAGATAAGCATATAGGTGTTAATGGATTAGGTTTGAGTTGAAACCAATCTAAATTAAAATGAGTTTGAGCAAATTAGACGATCTGAACATTGAATTGGACCAGTCCAAAATGGTCCAAATTATTCATTGGATTGAATTGGACTTCGTCCATTTGTAATGGACACATTGGAGTGGATCGGGTTGAACCAAATCCAGTCCAATTGACACCCCTAGTAGCGGGTAGCGAGACTCGAACCCAAGTCTTTCTAGAAACAACCTAGATTATGTATAACTTAGCCACCACTTAGTTGACAGACCACCATTTCTTTAATCTATTTACTTTCCTTTCCACTATATATATATATATATATATATATATATATATCCTCTCTTGCAGCCTTGAAGGTGCCATTCAACTAGCAAGACATAACTCGAACCCATATATAAATAGCATGGGTTCAAACCTTAGATAGATAGAGAGAGAGATCCCAATCTCATCTATTTACAACCCTATTTTCTAGTTCTAGCACTAATTGGACCATGCACCTCGCTAGTAAGGCTAGCTGCAACTTGGGCGGGGTTGGTCAAAACCTAATCCTAAGGTTATGTTTGGTTTGAAGGAAAAGGTAGGAAAAGAAGGGAAACATAGGGAAATTCATACTAGGTTTATAAAGGTTTTCCTACATTTCTCTTCCTTTCCCTACTTTTTCCTTTAAACCAAACACAACCTAAGAGTTGGGTTGATGTTCAGGTTAGGGTTGAAATTCATTAATCTGATTTTACTTTGGGTTGGGTTAGGGTTAAACCCTTGGTCAACCCAACCCAACTCGAACCCTATGGTATATATATACATTGATTTGTTTAGATGTATGATAGTTGTATAACCCCCACTACATGCTAGTGTGTCTTTCTTTTAAGATAATCACTTCACTTAATCCTAAATTAAAAGACTAAAACCTTAATAATATATTTTATGTTTTTTGAATATTTTATTTTTCATCTCTTCTCTAATATTTGCTGCCCATAAAAGATCTATAATAAGTCATAACTCATAATAAAATATAATTATTTTAAACATTTATTTTTTTTTAAATTTTATATCAAAAGAACCATCAAAAACATCAACAAACAAATACTAATAAAATATAGGATTAATATATATATATATATATATATATAGTGAAAATTGAGTTAAAATTTGAAATTAAATAGCTTTATAAGATTTTAAAGGATAAAAAGAAAGTTGAATTGAATTAAAATTGAAGGAATTGACTTAGGGTTAGAGTGGAGCTAAGGTTGGCCTCAACCCTACCTAACCCGGCCGACTTGCAGCCCTACTCGCTAACGGCATCTTTTTGACTTTTTCAACCAATCCATTTTTAATGGTCATTTTCATTTTATTATTAATTGTCCATACTTTTTAAAAAGAGGAAATCAATTAATTAATTAATATTAATTTTACCTGGTCAGCCAAACCAAGGCTCTTGCACAGCTGGTGGGCTTTTTCGCAACCCCCTCTCCAGCCTCTTTCTTCAAAATCTCAATTAAGTTTGAATAAATCGATGGATCCAATTCGTAAATCTTCTCAAGTCTCTGTCGGAAATATAATTAACTAATTAATTAATAATCAATAACAGATCAACAGTTAGAATGTTAGATAAATAACTTCGTAGTAGAAAAGAAAGAGAGAAAAGAGACAAAAGCCACGCCTAAACCAGGAATCTCCTCAATAATGAATTCGTATGACAAGGGACAACTTGCTCAGGATGACACTTCAACCCTTGCGAGATTGAAAAGGATAGGTGCAAAACGGGTATAATTTTCGCAAAATAAAGCGGGTATTTTCGTCATACAGTGAAAGTCAGACAGCGCCACGTCGTGTGGTCCGTGCGTGACTTGCCCGTGCATTGAGTATGCTTTTTGATTTTTTTGAGTAAATTGCTGAAACCTCCTTGCAGTTTACTAATTGCAATTATCTCTCCTAAATTTTTTGATATAATTGTAAGTAAACCCTCTTTCATAAAATCTTATGAAAATGTCTAAAATACCTATAAAGGAATTATTCAGAGTAGTTTCTATGCGAGAAAAAAAAAAGACATTTTCATGCCGCGTTTTAGAAGATTCTACTTTTCAGGTGAGATGATTACTATTGTTAAACCATAGGGGAGGTTTCAGAAATAATTAGAAACTTCAGGAAATTTTCAGCAATTTACTCCTTTTTTCTGTCTTTCTTCCTCGCTTAGAATTTAGATGGACCGGAGAAGAATTTCAACTGAGAAATTTACCTGGATGTTCTGATGGATGTCTTGTCTCAAAACCGCCATTGTTGGTCCAATCTTATCTGCACGTGTGGAGAGATCATAACCACAAGTTAGGGGATGTGCTGTATCTATATATCTAGTGGTATATAGAGACATACCACTCTCACTTAATCGTTCATCTGGTGATTCAATTGGAAGCAAAAACATTGAATTCTTGGCTTGAAAAGGAGGAATAGAAGATGACGAGTATGAGACTATATGAGAAATAAGACAGGGATTTCATTACAGTTGCTTGGTAGGAGGAAAACTGGGAGAGACCCATTTCAGATTTCATAGCAGTAACCAGTTGGATCATAGAGGAGAAAATGAAACTTTCGGGGAAAGATTCATTGCAAGTTCGGTGGTATCATTCCTTTCTAAATGACTCAATTCGTCAAGTGATTGTGTGTGTGTAAGGAGAGAGAGAGAGAGAGAGCTAACCAAGTATTTGAATAAGCAGGTTGCAGGTATAGAGAAATGGCTTGGTTGGAAGATAGGCAACATTAGGATCAACACCAGGCTTGACCTTGACGACCATAGAAAGCTCCTCGATGGCGGATCTTATCTCCGACCCCTTCTCCATTTCTCTTCTCCTTTTCATTTGATTTCCACTACTTCCTCACTCTTCTTCTGTTAGCTTAAGAGAGAGAGAGAGAGAATCTATTTACATCGAAATGGCATCTCTAGTTTGGTTGCCGGTTTTGTTAGACCCCACCTTGCAACCCCTCCCCCACACGCCACAACCCCTTTTACCACACTGGTATTTAAATCTTGGGGAGGAGATGGCTTCTCCGCACCGAACTCGATCCTTTCCTTGTATATTTTTCTAACAGATGATAGACACTGATTGTGACCTGATATTTGACTTGGAGCTTATCATCTATCCTCTTAGAGTTGATAAATTAATATCTTATTAGGGGAAAAATGGTTTATAGGGTTTATTATTGGTAAGGGGCGAGGAGTGACAGAGGATCCAACGCGGTTCAATTCTGAAGCCACTCGGTCCAAATCCGGTTAACTCCTTCCCCAACCCTACCTGATTCGATAAAAAAATTGGGCCCAAATTATGGCAAGAGACAAAACTTCACTGTCGGCGTGTATATCAATTAGGGTCGTGGTGGTAAATCTTCCCCTCCACTCAAGTGATCTAAATTCTAAACAGTTGGATGGAAATGATTCAAGGTTTGCACTAATGCATTAATTGTATCAGTAGAGATGAATTTGCAGTGCAAGCTATAACAATTTTTGTAGTGTATTATGCCAAATAGATGCCATCAATTTTAGTGTAGGCGAAATATAATATTCTTTGACATTTAGAATTACTTAAGGCATGGTCTCCACGAATACATTTTCTAGAAACAATTTCATCCTACAATTCAAGAAAAAAAGGTTATAGGGAGAAATGCATTGTCGCCCTGTGGGCTGAGCCTGGTTTCATTAGCATTTTGGATTTTCTCCTCACACCCACTTTACAGTCAATACATTAGCATTGTATGTTTTCATTCATGAGATATTCCTTACAACTGAGGACCATTCTGTGAAAAGGAAATCCATATTCTGCTTACAATTGGGACAATCAAAAAAAGGGAATATAAGATGGATGTCCTAATAACAGTAGCAATTCAAATAGTAGCACAATATTATCTTGAAATGAAAGAATGGTGGATATTAATAGGTTCCATGAGTCCTTTTTGTACTTTATCAATTGTCTACTGATTTGGATAAAAGAGAGCATTGCATTAATTTATATAACTTACACTTAGGCTGTGTCTGGTTTGAAGGAAAAAGTAGAAAAAGGAAGGGAAAGGAGTGGAAACCTAAACAGACCTTATAGGTTGCCCTCCCTTTTCCTTCAAACCAAACATAATCTTATTGAAGGGCTTGATTAAAATACTTGGGGTATGTTTGCTACCACTGACGTTTCCAGCTAATATGTTGCCAGATCAGTGCCACTTAGGCATTTTGAATTGCAATGGGAATTTTTTATTTGGTTGAGTCTGTTTTAATTCAAAACAGTAAAAAAAATATTTTGTTTGAAAATAGCAACAAGGGGATGTTGGAGGAAACGTCAAATTGAGGTTTCCCTATGTGACATGGTGATGAATTGATACTGTGCATCACGTATCATACAACACTTTGAGCAAAGCTATATAATCTATGTCTGCAACGCCTTCTTCTCGAAGCTGCTGCTGCTTGAAGCTCTCGATAACACTTTTACAGACGTAACACCCCCGTACATTGGAGAAAAATAAAATCTGATGAAATCCTGGGTTTGGAAAATTCTTGGACATTAGATTGGCATAACAGTAATTGAAAGTGTGATTGGTGTTACATAAAATTAAAAAGTTTACTTTAAACACTTCAACGTGAAAAAGGACATACCAAACACCTATCTACTAGTCAACATTGCTGTTAAGTCTATAAACATTCTATAAATATTAAGTGTTAACCAAACAGGTTTCTCCTCTAACAATTGAAACTTGCACCACCCACACTACTCGAAACGTTTCCGCCTTAAATGGCAATGATACTAAACACAACCTTCAACTTGAAATAAGCTTAATTAAAGTGTCATCTCTTTAATCCCCCCAGTTTACTCCCAGTGAAGGGCTGGTTGTTTTAAAATTCTCCAATAATAAAAGCATCTTCAACATTTATTCTTTTAATTTTTAGGGATATTATCTAAAATTTACCATGACTTTTCAAAACGTCAAGGGCCAATGAGTTTTTGTGTTCTAAAACTCACCATCCGTGAGAGCATTGTTAGTGTTTATGGACAGAATTTGTCCATGTCAACATAAATGCAACTTTTTAAAATCAAACTGCACTTGAATGACGATTCAGCCTTATTAAACATATTTTTATTTTTATGACTAAAATTCCTTTAAGCATCTATCTGCCTTATGCATTTAGGCCATGTTTGGTTTGAAGGAGGGAAAGGAAAGAAAAGGTAAAGAAATCTATACAAGTTTTATAAAGGTTTTCCTACTTTTCCCTACTTTTTCCTTCAAACAACATAGCCTTAGTGTAAAACATCAGAAATTGCAGATAAAACTAAGGAAATAATTAAATAATTAAATAAAAGTACAAAAGACAAACTGTAAAAAACATAAATTTTGGACTAAAATCACAAATATATTTTCAGCCAAAAATACAAAATTATAGAAAATGCATAAAATGATAAAAAAAATATGTATTTCAACTAAAAATGCAAAAATTGCAAAAAACAGGTACAAAAAAATAAAAATTCACAAATATATATTTCAGCCAAAAAATCAGAAGGAGAAACCTTGAAATTGACAAAAAGCCTAGAAATTTCCGAGGCTGAAAGAGATGGTCATCGCTAGGGCTTCCAAGGAGGCCGACCCTGAACCATTTTCTTCAGCACTGGTGGCTGAACAGTCGGTCATCGTTGCTTAGTTTCTCTTCCTCCCCAACGAAGACAATCATGAAGTTACTGACATGGGTTAAAGCTTGGCCCATCTTCTCTTTTTCTTTGTCCATGGTAAAGCTTGGTGTGTAGGGATTGATTGAGATGAGAGGTATTCGTTGCCAAACCTACCCACTCCATTAAACCATTAAATCAATTCATAAAATCATTGCAAGAATTGAAACCATTAAATAACCCTCCCTCAAACCTGCATACTTCAAGAATGATTGATAATCCATTAAATTAAATCCTTAAGAACTGAAATTTTAACAAATTTTGAAACATTCATTAAACCTTTAAATCATAAGTCTATAATTCATTAATCCATTAAACCCTTAAACCATTAAGTTTCTCAAGTGTCAATAAACAACTCCATTAGTCCATTATGAACCAAAAAAAAAAAAAAGATATAAAATCTCCAAAAGTTCAAGACTCCACAAAATATCCAATAGTTAAACTCCAAATCCACCAACCAAGTCCAAGACTCCAAAATAATTCTAATTGCAATCTTCCCATTTCCAAACTTTTAGTCCAAGCTTTAGCTCCCACTCTTACAAGAAAGAATAATCAAAATATACTCGTATCCTTATCATCATATGATTATAATGAAAGAAAAAAGAACTTGGTTTGTGTTAATTTTTCTTACCATTTCATAATGATCAAAACTCTTAAACTCTGTCTTGCAATATCAAGTCTTGGATCATATTATTCTCCATGTTTTTCATGTTCTCCAAATGTTCTTTGTATTTAACCTGCAAGAGAATACATGAAATTTAAAAATTATGGTATAAATCTAATATATTATGCAATGCAAGTATAAAATTTAAAAAACCTACCAAGTACAAGCACAAAAAGGGATAATCAAATATCAATCAGCAATCACTATTGGTTCTGATGTGACCGTAACCTTTGGTAAATCTGAAAATTGAAAAAGAAAATTAAAAAAAAAACACTCATCTACAAATCATAAAGGTTAAACAATTATGATTTATGAAGAGAAAAATGACAAATGATATGGAACTTAAATTGAAAATTTGTTACCATTTTCAAGTTTATCAAGCTCCTCTATATCTTCTTCAACATTAATGGCATATTGTGACGATCGGATCCAATCTTGAGCATATAGAAGTGCTTCTGCTATTTTATAAGTCAAAAAACTCCTAAATGCATCAAGCACTCGTCCTCCGATGCTAAAAGCAGACTCTGAAGCAACTGTAGAGATAGGAATTGCCAACACATCCCGAGCCATTTGTGAAAGGATGGAAAACCTAGGACAATTAACTTTCCACCATCCTAGGATATCAAAGTCATCATTTCCCTCTTTAGTATCTTCATTCACGTATCTATCCAACTCTGATTTGCTATCTACCCCTCCATTCTTTGACTTGTACTTTTTAAACGGAGACATTGCCAACATCTTCCTTACTTGTGATGGTTGCTCACCCTCTGTCTCATTTGAAGCTGAAAATTGGGTTTTGTCATTAGTATGCCCACTTCGAGGTGAAATCATGTTCTTGTATTCATTGTACAAATCATACACAACTTCCTTAACTTTCTTCACAAGCTCTTCACCCTTGACACCTTCATACATATCTGTAAGGGCAAACTCCACATACTCTAATTTCTGACGAGAATCAATGATAGCTGCAATACAAATCAACTTATTTATCTTTTCAATGTTTCCCCAATACTTATCATACTTTCCTTTCATCCTCCCTGCCATTTTTTTCAATTCTTTATCCTCACTACTTCCCCACTCTCGTAAAAGGCAATCAACCGAATAAATTTCTTGAAAAAAATGTTAAATATGCATACAAGGAGCCTGAAACCCACAATGTGAGATCATAGAAGTGTTGTAGAAATAGCACTAGCCTCCTAACACAAGCCCAATCAAAATCAGTAGGAACCCCATCCCCCGTCTCAAGTTCACTTCTAAAATAAGGATCATGATCCTCAAATCTCTCAAAGGCTCTTTCAAACTTTTGAGCGGCCTCCAACATTAAATAGGTTTAATTCTATCTAGTACTCACACCTAAACACAACAAACTCTTACTCTGAATTTTTTCAATCTCAACAAACTCCTTAAACTTTTGCAACCCTGCTGGGGACTACCTCACTGCTCCCCGAACATGATTAACAGATTCACCCATCTCTTTTAAATCATCATTGACAACCAAATTTATAATATGTGCAATACATCTCATGTGAAGCAATTTCCCATCTAAAATGCTAGTTCCCCAATTAGCTATTTTTTTTCTTTAAAAATGCAACTACAACATCATTTGAACTAGCATTATCAACTGTAATTGAAAAAATTTTATCAATCCCCCATTCAAGTAGACACTTTTCTATTGCCTTACCAATAGCCTCTCCTTTGTGATTAGAAATTGGACAAAAATTC